GATAGTGCTTGTCAAGATGAAAATATGGAGGTTGTTGGCTCCCATCACTTTAGCGGACTGCAGGAGTTTAAAGGGTGATAGGTTTACAGTGTTCAATCTAGGAAGAGTCTGACAGTGAGTGGAGGGAAGAGGGGGTTAAAATGTGGCTTCTCCTGGGGAAAGCAAGCCAAGATAGCTGCTCCATCATTATGGGGACCATAGAATCCCTAAGGCCCAGTCAGTGAAAAATGTACAGACAGATCACATCCTGTAAGTTTGACTCAGCCAGGCCCTGCCTTGGGAAAGAGTCTTGTTCACAATCCTGATTTTCACCAGCAGGCAAAAGCTTCAGGAGAAATGCTAAAATCATGGCAGAAACCTCAAATTTTACAATTGTTATGGCTTGTGTCTAAGCCTCATGCAATCATGGGTGGGGTTTTTTTAGAAGTGGCTGCATCTAGAATATGTGATGCTGGGACTGGTTCATGGTGCAATGCTAGGCTCAAGGACATTAGGACCAAGGGTGTGTATGCTACCCACCCTAAGTAGCCTGGATAAAATATAGGAGATAGAAAAAGCTGTGGTTGTTCTTTGCTGCTTTGCTACCTTCTGCCCACCATGAACTGTTTTTCCTCTGGGACGCCTGTCTGCTATCGACCCATCCTATTATGGGCTGAAACCCCTACAGACTATGAGGTAAAGAAATCTTTCCCTGCTTAGCTTGTGAATGTTGGGTATTTTGTCTCAGCAACAAAAAAGTAACTAAGACAACAATTAAAGACTTTTGTTTTGAATAAAAAAATATAATTGTATTGTTCACCCAGGTCCTTGATGCAGGATAAATGGTTTTTTCTTTGATATCTTGTCTTGGTTACCTTTTCTCCTTACTGGGACAAAATACCAGATGCCCAAAATTAAGGAAGGAAAGGTTTATTTTGCTTACAGTTTGTGGAGCTTTCAGTCCATACTTGGCAGGTTACAAGGCAGAATGGCACATGGCAGAGGGCTACAGCTCATGGTGGCAGAACACAGCAAAAGCAACAAGCACAAAAGGGAGGAATGGCCACAAGCAGCCTCTCCCTCTCCCTTACATATGCAAACTATCCACCCGGGGTGTAGCTCTCACACCCATAATTGATCAAACTCTAAAAGCCTGCCCATGACTGCATGAGGCTTTGGGGGGACACACAGACACAAACCATAACATGTCTATAAAGGAATGAAAGGAAAGACAAGGAATGAAAATATTTGATATCATGAAAAACTTTAGAGTACTGCTACTATAGTTCATGATTTAAGCTAACACCCTATCAACAACATCTTAAAAATGATCTAGGCTGACATGATATTTTTGAATAATTCCAAATGATAATTTTCAAAATTGTACATTAAATGTTGAACCTAATAATTTAAAACATTTGCACGCATCAATTCTTTCTTAATGTAAGTTCATTTTTCCTTTGTAAAAGATTTAAAAAATCATTGAGTTTCTCAAACTTCTAAAATTAATAATTTATAGAGTCAGTGGCCATGAAATGTTAAGCCCAGCCTGCTGGAAAGGAAGGATTTAGTATAGCAGAGTCCCAACCTGCAATAAGTACATGACTTTCTTTCAAGTCACTGTAATGACAATGAATTTAATTACTAACATTGTACAAGTGAAGCAGGAGTGAAAAGTCTTGCCCTATGGGAGAACAACCTGAGCACTCACCCAATTACCATTTAAGTAATTTACTTGTATAGAAAAATATACTTGCTTCATTGAAATTAGCAAAAAATATTTAATGATTTGAAAGGAACTGAAAAAATGAGGGTAGAGACAGTTGGCAAGTAAAGGCTGACTACTGTTACCTGAAGTGCAATGACTTTGCTATATTGACATACTTCATAGGCTGATTATTAGCTATGGAAATAATTAGGTGACATCATAGGATATCATAACGGATCACATTGTGTATGAATTTACCCATCCATTTAGATATTCTAGGCACTTGGGATATTATATACAGACTTACACCTAGTCATTTATTAACTATACATTTCTGTGAAGTGGTTGAAAATGAACTTGCTTCACAGGGTGACTACAATAGCTTTGGACTGAAACAATTTCTTTAAGATGCTGAAAATTAGGTTGTGAATATAATTGCTTCAGAGGATGTCAAATACATCACAATAAACTACACACTAATGACAAGTTTACATTTTTAGACTCTCATTTTAGGGGCCTATTAATTATTAATATGACACTGATTAATTTATTTCCTTTTGTCAAGCCTGCAAATCTATGACATTTTGAGCATTACATACAATATTAAACTCATCAATTAAAACATAATTAATATGGAAGTTCTCACTTCCATATTTAAACTGCAATGATATATAAACAATAAAAAGATGCATAAGGACAGGGCTTTTGTGTATCCACTGGTGTACTTGTTTTGTTATTAAATTTCAACTGTCTCTTATGCTCTTATGCTTTATCCTCTCCAAGTCATAATCTATGAATTTTTGTTCATAGTTAACACAGAGAAGCAGTACAATGGCATCTTTAAATTATTTCCAAAGATCACTCATTAAATTAATGTAGCAATATATCCCAATGTGACCTTTAGCTGCCAGGCTTGAATGCTATTCTGTATATGTAACATTCTATATGTGATGAGCTCCCTTCTTGAGAACTGTATAATTTTAATGAAGAGACAACAATATTCTTCACTCAAAGCACTGACCTAGATTGGACATTAATTTTCTCGATGCTCACATCATCACTTTAATGATATCACTTCTAATCATTAGAATGACACTAAAAAGGGAGAGAATTCTAACTGCTGCCCCAAATGAGTAACTCTGCTCTCCTCCCTGCATCCTCCCACATGTATGTCACTCTACAAACTACAGCAGCAAGTGAAGTTAACTTGGCTGATTACTTTCATATTACATATTAATATAGGGATATATAAATCCCAGAAAGAGGTCTCTATTGTCCAAAAGACAAGAAGAGACAATAGTGATGTTTGGCCAAGTCAAGTTTCCCAGAGAAAGACACTCAGCTACCTTACTGGGCTACTTCAAGATCTTTCACATTTTTTCCAAAGCGCACGTCCTCTGGCTGTGCTGCTGGTTTGTCCGAGTGGGAGAGAGGGTCACGGGAGAAAGTTTCTGTTCCCCCAGTATGATCACATTGGCTAATAAGAACTGTAACTGTTGGGATCCTATTTAAAAGGAAATTGGAATCAAGTTCCTTTAAGGAAGAGGACCAATAATCTTATTAACTCAAGTATTCACTTATTAACCAAATATTAATTTTGGGTTCTGCTTAACATTTGTGGAGCAGGGACATGGAGATAAAGAAATCTTTCAAATCCATATGCTTTGCCTGAGGGACTACATTTATTACCTGCTGTAATTTCACTGGGTAATTTTCCCGGTGGATGGAGATTCAGCTTAAGTTTTCCATCGCTGAGTGACAGGAGAAGACCCCCGGAAACGAGACGCAGTTCACTGAAGAGCAGAAGTCCCGCCTTATTCCAGGTGCGAAATTGAAAACTGACCGATAGCTCGTCGTCTCTGGAAGAGGTTGATAGTGCCAAGTAACTCCTGGAGCTCAGGAATGTCAGAGGCACAGACTGTGGTTGTGAACAAGAAAACGACACATTTCCCTGAGGACAAAGTAAAAGAAAAAAAAGACTTCAGCACTGTCAATTAGTAATAGAATTTGAAATATTCACAAATGCTTCTTATCAATCTTTCCTGACTCTCAATTTAGAACTGTGTTTTCCTATTGCCATGGAAATCCGAATCCTTGCCATATACTGCATCTTAAAGGTTCTTCAGCAATGTTCTCTGGTCTTTCCTCCATTCCTCAACTTTAATATCGATTTGGAATATCAACGAGATAGACATTATTTAGAAGCATGCACACTGAAAGGAAAACACATGGTCTTGGTCAAATGAAAATTTTTCAGTAGACTATGATTCTATTAAAAGTGAGTTAACTTTTATTGTCAACCACTGTTGTGTTCCAGTGAATGAAACAAAAGCGGATGGGAAAACAATGCTCATGTGTGTACTAACCCATAATATGTAATAATTATGAGACTGTCAAACCCAGTGAAAATGAAAACATGTCACCCACCACAGTTTGGTCTCATGCGTCAGTGGACAGCGCTTGTTACTCCACGAATAAGAGCATATCCTCTTTCCAAGGAAGAGTGTGGGAGTATATTCTGGAAATTCGTTTTTTATGTGAAACATGCATATATATTTCTCTGTAATATTCTTATTTTCCTTTAACATTATTTTCCCTTTTATGAAAAACTACTTCAAAATATTGCTGGATGCTATCATCATAAAGAAAGTACCAGTTCAGAGAGAATTAAGAATGAAATACTGCTCTAGTAATAAATATTTTGATGTGTTTGGGGATTATCCAATGCGATGTGAGCTTAAATTGACACACTTTGAATTTTAAACAATGGAAGAAATTAATTAATATCAACTTAGGCCTGCTTTCTATTATCAAATTGGTACAGCTGGAAATTCTGTTTCACAGAATTTTCTTCCTTGTATGCTGTTTGGGTAAAAGTTTGCTGAAAAAGAGAGTTAAACACTAGCCTTTTGCTGGAAGGGATTCTGGAGTGTATGCAGAATGAAGGATCTGTTCGTTTATCCCACTCAGCATTGCTTTATGCCTCTGTCTCCCTCTCCTCCACTCTGTATCATCTCTTCTCCCCGGTGGCTGGCTCCTCTGAGCCCAGACCTGCCCGCCTCTCAGATTCTTGGCTAGGGATCCTGGGAGCAATGTTCTCCAGAGGCAACAAGACCCACAGGCCCCTCAGAAAAGTTCCTTCATAGGCTGGAAATGCCCTACCAAGTCCAACACACTGTGTGGACCATGGCTGCAGGCAGCATGAGTGGCTTTCCTCATCTCCTGCCTTCTCCTGCCCGGCCTTCACTTCCACATTCCTCTGGTAATGACAAGATCCAAGTCCTAGGAGAGACTGCCTGTTCCCCATGCGCACACTGGTACTGCTTCGTAGACTGAACGGCGACCAGCAGTTAGCTTTCATTCCACCACACTTCCATAACCCAGCATCTAGTGAGTCTGAACAACGCCACTGTTTCAGGAGATTGGCAGATGCAGTATTGTGACAGCTGATTCATTCTATTTGGTACGAGTGACCGTGGCAAACTACAAGTTTTTTCCAATATATCTCTAACAGACATGCATGTTATTTGATTCTGGAAACTGTATACGCTCATCTGATGAGTTGGTCAGGGAATATCTTAGTAAGGAAACTACAAAGGAAAAAGAAATTAGCTGCCTGAGTGTAATAATATCACAACAAAATTAAAATATCAACTGTTAAAAATAAATGCTTTACAACATATAAGGCTAAAATTATGTTCTGAGAATTAAAATTCCTTTAAATAGAATGAATCTCTTTCATGCATATTGACAATCAGAGAAAAAATTGAAATAAGAGCAGTCTCTAAAATATTATATCATGTGGGAAACTATAAAGGAGCAATTTTACTGCAGAAATCCTTGTATTTTCACTGATTCCATCATATGAAGACTCTTAACCTCATGATGATCTGTGGGTTTTGCTTCTTGGTCAAATCAATGATAGCCACTCCATTATAATAGAGATTTTCTAAACATCCATGGAAATTGCTCAGTGGGAATGATACTGATTTTGAAGATGCTGAAATCCCTCCAAAGCTGATCTTAGAAAGAAAAGTGGCATCAATAATATTGTTTAATGATTTTATGGTAATCTGTTTAAGTAATTATGATTAGCAACTATAGCTGTAAGCATCACACACAGCTCAAGTTTTCATCACTATGCACTGAAAAATAATTAAGGTACAAACTTTGAAACAAATATATATGCATTCAGTCTTCATTCACACTAGAGCTTGGTTATTCATACAAGTTGTTAATCACATCTGGTGTTGATTTTATTGTTTCATGGAGAAAAATACATCTTTATGTCCATGGTAAAACTTGACCTGCTTCATACTGTAACTAATTCTGATGCTTCATTCTGTGTAAATTTCTAGCATGCATTGGTATTTGTGGATTTGAATGTGATCGGTAACAAGTTAATTAATGTTTGTTGCTACACTCTCCCCATAAACTTTCACCACTCAGGAGGACACTGCAGCTCAAAGAAATCGTGCAACACATCTTATGTTTGTTAGTCATGATGAAATCTCTCTGCGGGGAAATTTTCTGCCTATGAAGAGCTGTGGCTACACACTTCAGGTGAAAAGGATGATCCTATGCCATAATAATAAATTTACATATTGTGAGGAAGATGAACCCTCAGGCATCACCTGCCCAATGATGTTCATGTGAATTCATCCGTGCTGGAAAATGTTTTGCCAGCCTTGTGATTTACTGTAAAGGTGTGTTCTCCGTAGCATATTTTCTGCTGGGAAGTGAAATCACATCCACATCATAACATCTGTATTAATTGAAATGTAGCCATCACACCTCATAATCGAGATCCAGGTAATTGAATTCTCCCTGTGTGTGGAAATAACGCCTGTGCTCATCCACTGTGAAGCTGACCTGTTTGCCCAAACGCTGGATGAGCACAGAATGCCAGTGCTGATCGTCCAGCAGGCTTCCCAGGGTGAGACTGACCAGGGTGTGGGTAGAGGGCAGTTTAGCTGCACCTGAGAAGAGGGAAAAATATAAGCATCATTATTCCCAGTTAAAAGAAAAAAATATTTCCCTTTTGTGGGCCAGCGTCTTGTACAATAATTTCACAATACTCTTTCACGCATCCCATCCCTAACACTGGTATGGATTTGCCTGATGTTTGAATATAATGATCGCTCAACCATGCTGCAATTTTTTCCAGCGTTAATTCCTTTTATTATTACCCGTTGCATGCTCGTTTTCAATGTAAATTTTATCTTTGCTACGACTTCATTATTTTTACTACTGTGATATTTTTCAATGACCCATCCTTTTCTTTATCATGCTAGAAAATATCCATACAGCTCTATCAAAGCTGTGTGTGTGTGTGTGTGTGTGTGTGTGTGTGAAATCCCCTGAGATTCACATACAACTCAGAAAATAGAAACCATTTTAACACGAAAGACCAATACTGCTATAGAGTCAAGCCCCTGAATCTGAAAATAGGACACATATTTTTTTTTAAAGCTGTAAAAGCATAAAGTTACCTAAGTAGTAAGTAAATGACAAGGTATTCAAACACTTCCCCAAATAACTTTACCTGAATTAATAAGTAGAAAAAGTTTTCCTCTTTATAATTCCTCTGTGATATGCTCTCCACTCGGCCCTGCTCTCTGCAGTAGAACCCCATCACTCTGCATGGTTTTAAACTTCAAGGAAATAATATCTTCTATTGGGCTCAGGGACTGTTCATTAAATCTGTACACAAGTGAACTTTTTCCATCAAGATCAATCACTTCTGATCCTAGAGATAAAGGTATTAGAAGTCATTCTAAGGATAGATACACTTTCCATGAAAGCATTGTAAATGTGTATGTGGGTCTGCATATGAAAGACCACTGCCCAGTGTCTCCTTGTCTATTGAAACCCAGGATGGATTCCATTTTAGTATTTACTAACTTTCAAAAAATTAAAAATCTAGAGCTACATTTTAAGTGTATATTTAATTTCTCTGTATTATTGGAAGCTATTTCTTCTCAGGGCACAAAAAATAGAACGTTAGTTAAAAGATTTTAAGTAATCTGCATAAAATTAACACATTTCATGATCAATACTTTTAACAATGTTCTTGAAATGCTGAGGTTAAATGGTTTGAGGAGGGACTCTGGCAGAAGAGTGATTTTGATGTTTGAAAATTCATTCACATACGTACTATACAAGAGATCCACACACAAATTACATGCTCAGTCTACCATAAAATATCACTTCAAAGACATATTATACTGACCTTTGCATTTAGTCTTGTATTATTTTCATGGCTAAATGATAGTGTTTAAGGGCAGTGCGACTTCATGCCTTCTGATGGGTGATGTTGCAAAGACATTAACAATGATATTGAAGGTTCATTCCACTATATTTATGTCATAACTGTGAGACTGACATATTTTTCAGCTTTCTGACAGTGTCTTACCTACTCATTGTCAAGATCACCCTCATTCAGCCCATCTGAAAAAAGATGTCATGTTACACCAGTACTGTACAGTACACCTGTCAGAATCAGATGCACCCTGATTTGAACAAGAGACAAGAAAAAGAACTGGTAATACTGAGAGGTTCTTGCAACATTTTCTACATTTTACCAAAGGTTCTTTTAAAGTCAATTATCCTTGAGAGTACATTTATATAATAAATGATAAAGTTAAAGAAACCCAATATAACATGAAGCTATTTTTTAACTGATAAGCTGACAGGTGGCTAACAAGTGGCATTACAGCTTACTCATTGTCTTCATTTGATTAAATTATTATAGCTCCTTCTACGCCCAAATACACATTTCATTCAGAATATCCATCATGCTTTGCAAACCACTGATAACCACCGCTGCCCCCAATTTTTTTCAACTATTTTATATGGCTATCTTTTGAAAATTCAGGGTTTATCTTTCCACATCTTGCTAATGCACTTATAAAGAATTCATTCACCAACTACACATGAATAAACATTGAATTCTTCAGAAAGAATAATGTTAATCAAACAATTATTCCTTGTTATATAGCTGAATGAATGTAATAAAAGCATAACTGTCAAATACAAATGATGTGTTCTATGATTATTAGATTATAATAAATTAAGGAAAATTTCAGTAAGACAGACTTTTAAATGCTGACACCTTAGGAGCAATGCAGTTGTTTCTGAGCTAATGTATTGCTTAAAGGCACCATCTCAGCAATGATTTTATTTTAGACAAAGACTATTTTTGGAATTAGCTACTGAGTTATTTTTACAAAAAAAATTTAGCCTATGTTAGTGTAGCCCACTATTTTTTCTTTTTTTTATTATTGTTATTATTACATTGTAATGGTCATATTCATCTTCTGTGCCACCTAAAGCTTTTGTGCCTGGAATGTTTCCATCAGCAAGATAGGTGAGTGAAAAAGATATTGGGCAAGTGCTACCTGCAGCAAAAGTGCACTGTTTCATTCCTTCAGCTGCAGCCACTTGCCGTCTTCAGACTGTTGCCCACCTTATACCTAACTGGGGTTTGACTGTGCAGCTGGATGGATTCAATCCAGAAAACTTTATTCAGCTCATCACATTTGAGGTACTGTGTGGGATACATGGGATATGAGTATTTAAGACAAGTGTGATCACCGCCTTCACATAGTTCAGACTCAGAAAAGGTGGATAACATCTAGCAAGTGAGAAAATAAGTTCACAAAACCATTATGGGTTGTAACAGACATTCGAATCAAGAGTTATGACAAAGTGTTAAAATTGTTGATAAAGATCTCAGGTGTCAGGTCTGGAAACCTAAGGCTAAGACAAATCTTAGTAATCTTGTTACTTGCTACAGTCTTCAAGTTCTCTAATTTTTCTGCATGAACTACTTTGTTGTTGGAATTTTGAGAGGCCTACACAATTCTCCCAATATGGCCCCATCCACTGTTAAAGAAAGTTCTGAGGATTTCTGAGAAATGACAGTGACAGGAATCACTTCAGTGCTCAGAATTGAAACGAGGGGGCCTTTCCTTGAACAAAGAGAGCTGAAAGTGCAGAAGGAAGGAAATCAACACACTGGCTACATCACATCATAGATTTCATGAGTTTACAGTGTCCCTCAGGGGATGAAGCTCAGTGTAGTTCAGAATGTGAGTACATTATCAGTCACAGAGAAATCATGTCACGCACATGTAATGTGTAGATATGAACTCTTGTGAAATAAAAAATAATTCTGGGCCATTTCTAAAAATATTAGTCTAGATAAAACACTCAATAGTTCACTTTCAAATATCACTTTTAGAAAAGGTATTTACACAAACATATTGATTTAAAACATGATTTTATTTTTATTAATTTATTCTTATTGTTATACATTTGTAATGCATGCTAATTGCATTCACTTTGGAGAATTGGTATACATATTACAGTATATATATGGTGCATGGTATACATACCTTGGAGTATGATATATGTATTTTGACCATTTTCACCTCTCCGCTAGCTCCCTCCCCTCCACCTCCTCCTTTTCCTCCTTCCCTTCTTCAGCGCCAAAAAGTGCCTTCCTGTTTTCTGCCTTCTCTCTTTTAGTTTAGTCTTTAACTTATTTAGATTTTTTTAATTTTGAAAGTTTTAAGTGAATTTTTAATTTATTTAAATTTGGGATTTGCCTATAAGAGAAACCATGTGATTTTTAATGTTCTGTAGCTGACTTATTTCAGCTGACATTATGATGTTAAGATCTTACCATTTGCCTACAAATGAAGTAAATCATTCTTCATGGCTGAGAACTATTCCCTTGTGTGCACAGACCACATGTTTTCACCCGTTCCTCTGTCTGTGGGCCTCTAGGCTGTTTATGTACTTTAGCTGGTGTAAGTTGTGCTGCTATAAAGATGGGTAGTTGTGCGTCACTGTAGTATGGTGACTTTAATTCTCTCAGGAATGTATCCAAGAAAGTCATAGCTGGATCAGATGGAATTTCTGTTTTCAGTTTTTGAAGAATCTCCTTAACAATTCCCATAGTGGCTGTATTAGCTTACATTGCACCAACTATGTAGAAATGTTCTTTTCTTCTCAACAGCCTCAGCAATATTTGTTGTTTCTGTGTTTTTGATGATAACCACTCTGACTGGGGTAAGATGGAATCTCAGAGTTCTTTTAATTTGTGTTTTCCTAATAGCTGAAGAAAATAAACATTTTTGCTTGTACTTATTGGTTATTGGTACTTCTTTGGAGAAGAGTTTATTAATCCATTCTTCCCCCCCCTTTTTTTTACATTAAAGAGAAAAAACAACAATAAGACAGAGTTTCTAAACAGGTTAGTAGGAAATTTACAAAGATTTGACTTTAAAATCTCACAAAATACTGAATTATCATGCATAAAGTGAATGATATAAAAATCTGGAAGTATCTAAAAAGGGTAATCCGTAAAAAGACAATTTAATCTTTGGAGAGAATGTTAGAATTCTACATATCATCAGTACCTAGTTCTCCAAGGATGCTAGTTGGGAAGACACAAACATAATCTGTCTTGAAAGTGATCACACCACTGCTAAAAAGGAAATTAGGAAAAACAGAAAAAAATCAAAGGAACACATTTGCATTTTATCATTGTGACACTGAGGCATTTTCTAACAGATCAGTATTAATATGGCTTAATAGGAGGCAAATTTATAAATATTTGATTTCATTATTACTGATTTAAGCCAGAGTCTATAAAGTTACATGTTAATTTATAGCTTTTTTCCCAGTAGAGATGCGAATGATTTCTTTCAACCAGAAAATATATCCCCAAGGGTTACCACTAGACATTCACTATTTATGTGTTTACTTAGCAATATTGTTCTTACATTCTTTCGTGGGTACCTAAATATTCCTGAGTACACACTTAGCCTCTTCAGTTTTCTTTGAACGTCTTACCATTACTTTGAATTGTTCATTACTGAATTAAATACATTTTTATCATATATTTATCCTATAATTCAGTGAGAGCCATGTTTTCCTGATTTGGGAAATTATACTTTAACCTTAGTAACTTTGCAAATACAGTTAGTCATCCCACAAAAGCAATATTTAAGTCTTCCCCACCATGGTAAAATTTGGGGGAATTTTTTTTTTTATTATTCCACAAAGATTTTCACATTTTTTTTTCTTTTTTGAGACGAAGTCTCATCTTTAAAAGATCTAATAAGATTATACAGAACTAATAAAATTAATCCAACTCAATATTTATTTACTTAGAATACCAAATTAAGCATCCAAAATGGTACTATTTTAATTAATGATCAATGTCTAATGGATGCTTTTCTTTTGTCAAATACCTTTGGGGGGGAAAATTTCTTGAGTTGTATAAACAGATAAAGCAAAAGTATGGATTGACTGTAACAAAAATGAAAAATCTTGAGTTAAAATTTATAATAGTAAAAGACCTACAAGTCCAAAGATTTAGGAGACATTACTTGATTGACAGGAAGAATAATTCTTCTAATTGTAGTTTTGTTCATAAGTGTTTATTAATCCAAATTATACTTCAATGAGTGGATTATTATCAATATTAATAATGTGGGTCTGCCGTGCACTGGGAGGATATGAACTCTAATTTTCTATTAACAAGTTGCAAATTGTCCTGATGTATCCACCTCTCTTTAGTCTAGCTCCCTTATTAGCCACTTATATGAGTATATTTCACAGATTTTCCAGGTAGATAAAACACTTAGTCTGTGTGAGCTTGAATCATTCTACCTTGAGCAAGTGTATTTGGCTTCCTATTGTTGCTGTAGAAGTAACCACAAATAGTCACTTTTC